ATTACTTACTTATCCTTAGGATCCAGTTTAGCGTAAAGTCCGTCCATAAGATTTAGAAGACAATCACTGTACGATTGGCGCAGGTCAGAATCCTCATCTATTCCTTCAATTTCTGATGATGCGTATTCTTGATATAGCCAGGACATCAACAGATCATATCGGGATCGGATCTCCTCCTGAATAAATTCTTGGAGAACTGCAGTGATAGAAAGTAACACAATTTGAAATCATCCATCAAAAGCACAAAAGAACGCTTAAAATTTAAGAAATGACAAGGTAATCAAAAACTTTCACAGGTCATGAGAACAAGTTAAACAATGTTGTTGTTGTTTCTTTTACGATCCACGATAAAATTTTCGATTGAATTTAAAGGCAAAACAGGTACTGCATTTGGTTTAATTTCAGGATATTGTGTGATTGCTTTAGAAACACGTGGGTCCCTCGGGTGCGGTCCTAATTTCCCGCACAACGGCTGGTAATTAAGAACTTGTGCCACCCTCCAGTGGTCGCACAAGATAGGCACCAACAACTAGACAACAAATCAAACTTAGCATTTTTTCTGTACGATTGAAGTTTCACCCAATTCCTCTGAAGGAAAACAAAAGAAAAGGATAGGAAAAAAAAGAGGACTTACCCATTTTAAGATCCCCTCCCAATTGTGTAACAAGTCCGACAATGAGATTGATGCGTTCCTGCCGAAAAAAGGGTCATTAAGAATACCTTTATCATCTCACCGACTGCCAACATGGACACAAAAACGTCACAGGGAAGTTGTTTTACAGCATAAAATAAGATTTGTACAGGCTTGGATAGAAGAAGAGGAACAAAATTTGTAAATAAATCTCGTATAAAAATCTACCTGTGTAACTCCGCTCCTTGCAGCACTACCTACGAAGAAACAAGTAAAAGAAGAGTTAAAGATACATCTGCTTTGATTTTCAAGAGGAAAACCGTGGTCAAATATTTAAGACGAGCGTAGAAGATGAGAGCATCAAAGAGAATTGCAACCGCTATCACTTTTAATTTCTCGTTCTGATGCTCTTCCAAAGAGCTGAGGAGAACTCATCGGCCAGCAAGACCATGTAAAAGGTCCACATGTAAAAAAAAAAACAAAAACAAAAACAAAAACAAACAAACAAACAAACAAACACACTTGTGACAACATACTGACCGACTTCCGGTTGGTTACGGAGAAAATTCATTATTTCAGTATTTCCTCAACTTTTGCTATTGTTGCTATTATTTCCACCCGTTAGTCCATCTTCGTTATATCAAATGGCAACGACACAAACAAAGAGACAAACCAACCGACGAACAAACAAACAAATAACGAAAAAAAAAGAAAAAAAACACGGATAAAAGACAACTGTAAGATATTTACGAGAAGGAAAGCTTTAGATACTCTGTCACTTTGTCTCACCAGACCTTCTCAGATTCTCACCTTCGGAGGCAAGTATTCTACTGACAGCGTTCGTCATCATACTTTGTCGTTCGTCCGGATTCAATTCCCTTGTCACATCAGATAACTTGAATGGCTTGATCTTCCTCATGCGCTGCATATTATATAACAAACATTCAAGTAAACGAAAAAAGGTGATTAAAAAACTTTCCTTTCTCTCGTTTTTTCCGAAACTTGCAGTGATATTTCATTGAGAAGAACAACCCCGGTATAGACAACTATGGACTTTCAGAAAGCTGTTTTAGTAAAAAGTTTGAAATAACAAAGAGCTAGTGAGGCTTAGAGACTGAAGCGAAAGAATGGATGACACATAGACACTCACGCTGGCTGAAATACGAACGCGAAGCTTGAAAAACGACAGCCTTCCTAAGGCAAGTGTTTCGGTCTCGATCGCGAGCCTAATGGCCCTATGTGCTACAGTTTATCCCAGTTTCCGTTGCATAGAGAGACTAGGAGAATCGCGACCCCCACCTCCCCTTAGCATTTTACAAACTTCCCAGGCAGTTAGCAGTAGAGCACTGTCGAGTGAAGGGCCTGGTCCAACAACATCAGACACTGAGCCTGCCCCTGGCTCTACCCCAGACCTCTCAGTCCAAAGTCCAGCGCACCAATTGATAGATCCCTTTCACCCTCCGTTAAATCGTTTCATGGTGAATAAACGAACACATGGGATCTCAGACTCACAAAAAAGTTCACTAATTAACGAAAAATGATCCTACCAGCTGAGGGACAGCAGGTTCTTTAGGTACAAATGGCGTCTAAAGAAAGAAAAAAGCACTAACATTAAATCATATAAACAAATACATCAATTTCTGAGGGTGTAAGGATATTTGCAACTCTCTTCCGTTTCTAACCTGTATAATAATTTACATAACCTTTATTTAAATAAGTAGTTATTTTGTCATAAAACTGTTACTCATGCATTCTGCTTCATCACTGCATTATCCCTTCACACCCAAACATCAGGATGCATATTCTCCATACTGTTCTCTATAAAATTTCCTAAGGTGCTGACAAGGAGAATTTGTTAAACAATCAAAAGCTTGAATAGTTGGTGATCATTTCCTTTATTCTCATGACCTTAATGTGTGTTTCATGAGGGATTTTGTTGGGAGAAATTAGATGCTGGTCTCTCTTAGGGCTCAAAGGGTTAATACTGTTATCAAACATGAGGTTTCTTTCATATCAAGCAAGGGAAAACGGCCTTCTCCGATACCTTTTTTATATCCATCGGTCTCTTTTCTTTAGTTGCCTCAAGGTGTCCACCTATGATGAAAATGATACGATGATTTATCATCCTAAATTCCTCTCGCTTATTCTGCGAGGCGGCAGCTGTTTCTTACATTTCCCTTTAAACTTTTGCGCGGAAAATCAGCGCGCGGAAGGCCAGAATTGATCCCCTCGCGCATGCCCTACGTTTGACCGCTGTGTTTAATTTGATAGTGTAGGCGGATTACGTAGATCCCACGTGATATAAGTTTCATCAGAAGTTGTCCGCGTGGGACACAAACAAAGTTAAGAAACTTTTCTTAAGCCTCATCTAGGCTGCGTTTAGTTCAAATTGAAACCAGGTGTGACAGGAAAGGGTTCTGGTGTTCATATAACTGAACTTCTAACAATGAAGCTTAATTCATCGTTTACCTAACATCCTTTGCAATGCTGAATCCTCCTCGGGTTTAGGTACACCAAACATAAACTGAGAAAAAAATGATACTATATATAAACGAGTTACAATTAAGACTAGCAAACAAAGGGATCCAGGTATTAGTCCCTTCCCCCTTTCCCCGCGTAACTCGTCTCCAGCTCGTTGAAAACCATTCGAAGTAATAATCAGGGTAATTTTGTACCATCAACTGAGTTGATAATGTAAATTGGCCACCGTAAAGAGTTTTAAAGCTGACGTTTCGAGCGTTAGCCCTTCGCTCTGACGAAGGGCTAACGCGATTCGACTCCTGGCCCCGTTTGTTCGAACGTTACAACTGGGCCTTTGCGGAACATTGCGGACTAATTGTTCCAAGTAAGACTCTGTCATCAACTGAAAAAGTACATGAATCTTTCCATCACTTACCACAGGATCGTCCTCAGCGCCAGGCCCGTTAAAGCCTGGTCCACCAATCACGGGGATCGACATACTCTCCTCCTTCATTCGTGGGTCATTCTGAGCCTGTTGACACGATACAACGACGAATGTTTACGGCGCAATCAAAGTAACAAGTAGAGAAATTTTCCCTAATGAGATCTTCGGCAGTAAGGATGGGAAAATACGGCAATTTTTTCCCAACGTCTGGCTTCCACGTCGTCAACCGTTTCTCTAACTACCACAGCTGCCGTTCTCTGTCGTTTTTTGATTACCCATACGGTAAAAGGGCTTAATGTACAGTACACATAACTTTCAGGTGAGCGAGTTTGACGAATCTTCATTCAATTCAGCGATTTTGTAAACATTTTGGAATCTTAATAAATCTGGACTCTGCCTTTTTTACGATAACCAAACAACCCCTGCCCCCCCCACCCCTCGACCTTTATTTTCTCCTTTCTAACTTTTAGATCTCAGACAATATTTAACCAGACACATACCTTTCGCAAAGCTTCCATTCTCTCATAGCCTTTTCCAATCTTGGCAGCATTCATCTGGGTGGCTAACAGTCGAGCAAGATGAACAACCTGCGCCTGTCCACCTGCGGCGGCGATGGGGGTGTAGGTGTCGTGGAAGTGGGAAGGAATGCTGTCAGGAAGAGCCAACATGCTGACCAGTACAAGGTCTGTTACAGTGTCTTTGTTGAGTCTGGGGATAATATCCTGTGCTGTCATGTCTACCGCATCTGATGCAGACATCGTCTCTATCTCTTCAGTCTGACAAAGTTGAGAAAAATATTTTTAGGTCTTGTCACGAGCTTCTCAACGTGTGTGTTTGGTTCGTTATTGTTTTTGTTTCTGTGTTTTTTTCAGAATTTTACTTACATCAAGCTTCGGCTTCTTTGAAGTCGCCGCTTCTGGTTCAGACCTCGAAGGTCAAATCAAAATACAACAAAGATTAATATCATGTGGTTTTTAGACTTCAAAACGGTGGCCAACTTATATTATGAACTCAGTCTTGAAGCGACATGATCTATGCATAAACTAACTAACCTTCTTTTCTCGGCACTGGCTTTTGGCATATTCCTTTGAAGCTACAGAAATCAAAGAAAACATCAAATCAAAATTCACTGATTGAAAGTACAAAAAAATGGTTAATGGAGGTTTCATCCGATGCTTGGGCGAAGTCATCCAGGAGGGGGCGAACTTGCAATGGGGTGAGTCCTCAAGATATCAAACAAACAATTGTAGCCACATAATCTTAAGTCTCTCGCGTTTAGGTTCTGAAAGATGTCACGTAACCCTACATCCAAAAGAAGTGTAGCGACCGGCTGTGTCAGAGCCTTTATAATTTACAGCTATAACACTTTTTTTTTTAACTTTTATGCACTAGGTTTCCGTCAATGATACTGACCTCAGCCTGAGAAGCCCCAAGATCTGTTAAAAGTGTGGTAATCTGGGGAAGGAACTCAACTGAAAAACAATAACAACATCTGCTTAACAACTTACAATGAAATAAATTTCAATTGACCTGCAGATAAAAATCAAGCAAATCAAGATACTCACAGATAAACTGCAATTTAAGCAATAACAGAAAAGAAGCATGAAGAAACTCAAGCCTCAAAACCACAAACTGTGTTAAGAGGCCACATATTAAAGCTAGGCAAATTTTAAAGGGTTCTTCTTTCCCTTAGAGGAATTTGAAAACAAATCGTTCCCTTAAAAATACATTTCATCAAGCCACTTATGATCATTTCTTTGCATAATTTTCATCCCCAGGTTCAATTAAATTAGTTTACAAGTATGATTTCTCACTTACCATCTTTACAAGAAAATGTACCAACCATTTGCATTAACAGAGTTAAAAGTGGAAGAACGAGCAAGTCAACTCTGGGGCTACAACTAATGCCCCGAAAAGAAAAAAAAATGGGAGAAAAAACGTCTGAGATTTAATTTCACTTACTTGAAGATGGATGTTTCATCAAACTCATCAGATGAAGCTAAAATGATGTAAAAAAAATTACAATTAGCAATTAGCTCTTCCAATGAAAAAGTACCACAGCACTATTTAAATTTCACATCATTTCAAAGATCAGCAACATACATGTATATAACTGTTTTTAAGAATGTCAGACAAATACATGTAGTACCTTCTCCCTAAATAAGACTTGCTTAGTTTGTGTGCAGCAATGAATAGGAAAGGGGAATTTAAAGCAAAACAGTAAGGTCTTTTTCTTGTTAGAGCAGTCTTAACAGTAAAGGTTCACACTTATTTTTGTCATTAATCAACTCACCCTGATAACAATTGTAAATTTGAAGCATAATTTAATAGCTTGACATACTGGTTAGTAATTCTTCAGAAAGAAAACTGATTTTTGTGAATGGTGTGAAGAAGGCTGGCTGCCCTCAGTGGAAAAACATTTAATATTTACTTCAAACAGCCAAAGCTTGAGTTCTGTTGATGTCTAAAACCACAGTTTAAGTCTGGCAGAAGATTTAGGCTCAATTGATTCCTTTATCTTTCTGACAGTAATAAGTACATCAGTGTATCTGTTACCATTAGAATGGAACAGATGAATTGCTAAGTTCTAAATTGTAAAATGAAATTTCATTTTTTAATAAAAAATACCTTCAGATTTTTCCTAACACTGCTGACTTGCGATTTACTCAGAGAGGTTGGAAGATTAGCTGTTGAGAAAGATTTAAAAAATATCTACATGAAATTTACATTGTATAAAGCATCCAAGATTAGATGTGACAAAGTAATTCTTATTTTTGAATGAAATTGCATTAACATTTTTGATGCTGTGTTATCTTCAACCTCTCCCCTATGTAATTTCTTTTATTTTTTCCCAATACAGACCTCCTGGCTGGTGAATAATACATATAAACTCTCTTTGTAACATGAAAAAGTACAAAGACCGCAAAAGACACAAAAAGTAATTTCTCACCATGGAGAGACTCAAATGCCTGAACGACAATGGACATGAACGCAGGCCTTTGACGAGCAATTGCTGACAGGGATCCAAGGGAAGCCATGAGGTTAACACTGGTGATAGATATATATGAAGTGATTAACATGTAACTTCTTCCTATAACATCTACACATTATCCAGCAAGCAGATAATGAGAAAACTCAAATTCATTAGATATAAGTTGTTATCTTGATCTAACATCAAATTCTTGTCACTTATTTCAAGGGAAATGTGAAGCAACTAGCCAAGAGAATTAACAATCAGATATTGGCTTCATGGGGCAGTAGCTCCAGTACTTTTGCAGTTAACAAAGCAGTAAAAGCTTGTATCAACAACAACTCCATCAGCCTTGACAGGTTAACAATGCTTAACGATGGTGATGACGACAACAACAACAAATAGCCCTGCCCCAAGCTGACAATTCAATATAGGTGTTACATTGCAAAGTGCGCTTTCATTTAGAATCGCAAATCAAAACTGTTCACTTCTAAAGTTAAAGAACTCCATCCAAAGCAAACCTGGAGATGGTGTGAGATGCAATGAGGGTGAGTAGAGACTCCAGTGTTGATCCTCCTTCCTCCCTTAGTTCTGTCATCTTGATTAGAGGATGATTCCTGGGAACTATCTCCAATGAGATGTCAGCCTCACCTTTCTTCAGTGACTCAGAATCCTGCATTAATAACATACATGGTTGCACTTAATACATTTACTTTTGCCTTTTCAAAGAAATAAGAAAGCATACCTGAGTTTTAAGTGACTGGACAAGAACAAGCATCTCCATAAACTTTATAGCATGAGTTCTTATTCTGAAACGGAAAAAATCCTATTTTGAGAAAAATTAGATTTTATAAACTTATGTACTATAGCCTGCAAGCTTTCGCACACAATTCTTCGCCCAGGGGAAAGTCTGAGTCCTTGTGAAATGTGAACCAATGAGTGGTCTGTAAGGGGTCTATCACTGACAATGAGGCCAGATCCCAGCAAACCTCTCCCTAAGTCATCTCAAATCTTCCCACTGATGGAGAAACACACATTTTATTTCATTAGCTGCAGTGCTAATAAAAAGTGCTTGCTCAAAAGCTTACATTGTAGCTACACATAATTTTGTAGCAACTGAAGGTACATTGGTCATGTATTATATATATATTATATAGTACTTTAAAAAGTTTTCACATTACCCATCATTGTCAGATTCCAGCATATCAATAATCTGTTCCTTTATCTGGATGAGAAGCTGTAGGTAAAAACAGAATAAAGTTGAAACAAAAAAAAACAAGAAATACATGTAAAGACATCACAATACTGATAGCTACAGGTAACAGAGGGATACAATGGAGATAAGAATTTAGAGATCTTAAAATATACAGATCTTTTAATGTGCAGGGTGATTAAGTGTTATCAACTGAGTTGTTAACATAAAATTGGCCACCATAAAGAGTTTAAAGGCTGACTTTTCGAGTGTTAGCCTTTCATCAATCGCTCTGACAAAGAGTCAACACCTTCTTCAATTTCAGGTGTCTACAAGGCAAAAGGGTGTTAGCAAGGCAAAAGTTAATTGTAAAATTTGTCAAAGAAAGTTCAATCTACTCACCTCCCACATGCGTTCGAGCTCTTCAGATATTGCTTTTTGCTTGCAGATGTACTAATCGAAGAAGGAGACAAATCACTAGTTAATACAATCTGAGTTAAAGTGTTGGTAAGGGTTAGCAAAAAATTAACTTCAACTTTAGATGTACATGCATAAAATAAAAGACAACACTTTAAATTTGAAACAAGCATTTACTGACCTGTAAAGCATACTTGTACAGCTGTGTAAAACACAGCATGACTCGCTTCTGAACAGCAACATTATCATCATTCAACATAAAACCCAGATTGTTGAGCACTTTGCTTAACAGCTCAATGTCTTTTTTGCTGCAGATTTGAGATCAAAGTTAATAGTCTATTAGGTACGTGAATGAGTCATGTGATACATAAAAAGATACATGTTCTAAGCAAAATGACTGTGTAAAGAGGGCAAGTTTCTAAAGAAACTGTGGTGCTGTGTCGGTGGGATAGTACAACAAGGTAATTTGGTTTCATCAACTGAGATGCTAACATAAATTGGCCACCCTAAAGAGTTTCAAAGTTGACATTTCAAGTGTTAGCCATTCATCAGAGCAAAACACAGTGTTGGTGAACAGGAAAATAAGTTGTCATAATTGATAATAATCAACCAGAAAGAAAAAAGCCCAGCTATAGATAGTCAGCTAATGAAGGGGACACTACTCTAAGCACCAAGAGGTCATGGTCTTATTGAGTGTTGCTTTTAACCCTTTGACCCTAAGAAACAGGGCTTTGTCCTCTAAGAGTGATTACCATCTACTTTCTCCTTACAATATCACCCTCAAATGACCTGTTAAATTGGGAGAATAAAGGGAATGATCACCAACTAAGAAAACTCTTGATTGTTAAAAATATTCTCCCAGTCTGAAAATTAGGAAATGTACAAAGAACAGTATGGAGAATGAATATACATACTGACATTAGGGTGAAAAGAATAAAAGAAAGAAAGCGCTAGGCTCTCAGTTCCTCTCTTTGCCTAGGAGTAAATCTGTGTGGACACTGGTGAACTCTCAAGGAAAACTGATAAACTACTGAGGGTAATGGGTAATGAAATGGCAACTTCTCAAGGAGAATGGCAAAACACCATTAACCCATTTTCAGTTTTCTTCATACAAACTGCTCCTCACTGTGTTGATATTTCTGCAAGCATAACACTTTTTCTAATGGCCAACATTGGAAGGGGGAGGGAGCACCTTGAACAAGAGTTTTTTAAGATTTGTAACAAGGATTTAAAAAACCTCAAGTTACAGGCAAAGTCTTACAAGAACACTCTTTTAAGACTTTTTCATGACTACTGATATTTCAATTCTACTAATACTTTAATAAACAATTACGGACATACCATGCCTCCTCAATGAATCCAACCACAAATTTACGTACATCTGCTGATCGATCTTGCTGGAAAACCAGGATTTCCTTTGGAACAAAATTTCAAAAAAAAACTTCAGATTACAAAATATCATTGGCCTTTATTTGACTACTGCATCCACAAAAACAATGTAATAAAGTTAAGCTATTAATTACAGGTAAAAGAAAATACATGTACACCCTCTATGTTGTGGGAACAACAAAGTATACTGCATCTCATTTGTAAAATGTCTTAACCCAAGGTAAGTGTCTGAAATTTTTGCTTTAAATTGAAAATAACATGTAAATATCAGGTATTGGAAATAATGGTTGTTAATATATAATTACAATACAATATACAATACAATATTTATTTGCCATATACGACATTTACAGATGGAAAAAAAAAATGAAGAAAATTGATGACAGAAAATAAATGGCGAGAAAACCTGAAAGAAACCACGAGGCTTATAACAAGTCAGGCTTTCTCACTTAAAATAACTAATCTTATATTAGAATTACAATATGGACTTATGGTAATTAACTTTGACCTCGCACAAGTACACACACACACACGCACACACATATTAAGTAAGTTAGTTAAGAATTACTGCCTTACAGAAGTTAATACTTAGAGAGAAGAAATTCCTTAAGCTTTCTTTTAAAAGAAGCGGAGGAGGGAGAACTAGTTATGTCAGAATTTAGCGAATTATAAAAGTTTGGACCTTGAAAGGTAAGGTAATTAATAAGAGGTATTGTAATTAACCCTTTAACTCCCATGAGTGACCAAGACAGCATTTCTCTTCACTATATCAATATAATATCAAGCAGACAAGTGATGAGAATAAAGAAAAATATCAATTATGGGATTACTAATTGATCTGATACCAAATTCTCCAACTACCATTGTGAGAATCATTTGGCAGACGATAAGGAGAATCACTGATTACATCTTGGGAGTTAAAGGGTTAAAATAACAAACAAATAATTAAAAATAAGTTGTACTTACATCCAAAAAATTATCAAGAAGGGTTGGGTCTTTGTTCACAATGAACTCTTGAACCTGTGACAGAAACAGAAAAAAGAGGTAAAAATCCCTTTCAGTATTATCCTAAAAGAAACTACATCAAGAGCTGTGGGCCTACACTTTCAACAATGCTTCATACTGGTGGTTGGGTATGGTAATATTTTGGAGTAAGAATATCTGTAATGTCCTCAAGCACACTCCATACTGCTCTCACAAGATAGAACTAACACATTTCCACAGCAGTATACTTTATAACAAGGCAAATTAAGAATGGAAAGAGGACCAACAAAATGGCCACTATGAACGATCCACACTTTCACTTTTCTCTTTTTTTTGGTACTGTATGAATTTTTCAGCAGCAAACTTTGAAGCCCATCTGATTCTTAAGTAGGTCATGATTGAAAAAACATTTAAATCGTTTCGTTTCTGTGGTTTTTATCTTCCACGTAAGCTTTATATGTGATCGGTAACAGGCTCAAAGAAGGCCGTAGAAAGTTGTTCGAAACCAGAAGCCAAAACGTTAGAAAATGAAATAACAGTGGAACAGTATTTCCCTTATTTGATGGTTTGTTGTGTATGTACAATAATACGAACGGAAATTTTGCTCATTGCTCGTATAAAACACCAAGCAACTCGTAACATATCCGCTTGTATTAAATGTTAAACCTTCAAATAAGGTGTGTTTATACCACTGAGCACTGCTCCGTAGTGTACTCCGTGGTTGCATACGGTAAGCTTACCTGTTTCAGACAATTCAGTTTGTTTTCCTTCTCCAGCTGAGCTTGATTAAGCAAATCAATTACCTGAAAAAAAAAAAAAAGTTTGTTTGGAGTGAGTTCAATCTGACCCTGACCCTTACAATAATCATTGTTATGCACAGATTTGCTTATTTTCCTCTCAACGAAACACTGACAAAGGAAACAGTCTTGATTGAAGCAACAAGTTATTGAGAAGTTAACGAGTTTGGCATATCTGCGAGAGGACGAAATTCGAGCATTTAACTTTTAAAAATATATATTTAACCTTTTCTGATGTAGAATCTTCAGCAGAATATTCTCCAGAAGCTCGGGCGTCTGCATCGTCATTTAGAAAGGCTTGTGAAGCTTCCGAAAGTCGAACACGAGCTCGACTACTTGCGGCCATCTTGATTTCTGCGCCCTTATTTTATTGACTAGCGGTAATAACTAAATCCAAACTAGTGTCGTGTAATGCTGATTAGAAAGGAAGATGGCGCCGGTGAAACGGAAAACTCAATGACGATCAGGAAAATTTTCATAGTAAACAGTATGGGGCTATTAACTATTTTAAAGAAGATGAAGCAGAAGGAGAAAGAGATGAGAATACTTATGCTGTATCCTTTTATGCGTTCTATATTATATCTGTTTGCAATTTCTTGCTTTTGAAAGGTGAAATACGGTATGCCCCAGGTGTATCATTTGGTTTGACGGAACAAAATATTGAATTGTAACCTTGACTGCGCTTTACAGAGGACTTGATAATGCTGGGAAAACGACTATTTTGAAGAAGTTCAATGGAGAAGATATCAACACAATCGAACCTACTTTAGGATTTAATATCAAAACCTTAGAACACAAAGAGTAAGAAAAAAAGGCAAAGCCTGTGTTTTGTTCGTTAGGCAGTTTGTTAGCATTCCTGCCTGTCTGTTCGTCTGGTTGTACATGTCTGTCTCCACCCCATTTATGTCTGTCTACCCATCTGTCTACCTGTCAGTCTGCCCAATTGTGTCTCATCTCTCTATCAATCTGTGTCTCCCTCTGTGTATGTGTTTCTGTCAATCTGTCTGAGTGTCTGTTTACCTACATGACTGTAATTTGTCGGTCTACCTTCATGCTTGTCAGTCAATCTGTCTGGTTACTCCATTCATTCATTCCTCTGTCCACTGTTCCGTCCATCCACATGCCCACTTACCTGTTTATCAGAGTGAAGATAGCTAGGTAAAGTCTGTACTTGAGTCAAGTGGCCCACCCAGCCAGAGGTTATTCTGGTTTACTTAGCGTGAAACAACTAGGAGTATTATTACTCTTTCCTGGGTGTGATACCAGTGCATGGCAAGGTTATCCCTAGCATTTCATCAGGCTTCCATGTTCATTCATCATGACCCATTTACAGTATGCTCCTGGATCAGTACAGTGAGGCAATGTGAGACTTAGGTGTCTTACACAAGAACACAACACAGTAACCCTACCAGGGTTTGACCCTTGACCCTTGACTCTTGAGTGCAGCACACTAACCATTTTTTCCATCTTGTCTCTTGATGTTGTCAGTGTTGTTGTGTTGTTATTGTACAGTACCTATATTTGTAGTTTAAAGTTTCCCCTGGCTGAAAACTCAATAATTTTAATGGAAATGATGATGGGGGTGGGTTCTCCAAACCAACTTCTTTCAAACATTAGATTAACCCTTTAACTCCCAAGATCTGATTGTTAATCCTCCCCTCTAGCTTCTACACATGTCCTTGTAAATTAGTTATAAGAATTTGGTGTTAGATCAAGACAACAACTTTTACATTATAAGTTTGAATATTCTCATTAGCTGTTTGTTGGACAATGAAAGAATTTCATTGGGAGAAGTTTCATGTTGATCACTCTTGGGAATTACAGGGTTAACTGATTTCTTAACCTTTTAACTCCCAGAGGTGATTAAAAATGTAACTTCTCCCCATAATTTCCATACATTATCTAGCAAACAGCTGGGTATAGAGAATACTCAAACTTATCAGGTACTAGTTGCTATCTTGATCTATCACCAAATTCTCATAATTACTTGACAGGGAAATGTGTAGTAGCGGGCAGAGAGAATTAACAGTCAGATCTTGGGAGTCAAAGGGTTTGGGAGAGGCAGGTGCAGAGTTTGGATAAGAGGATGTTTAAAGCAAATTTTAGCATTGGTGTGGATAAGGAGACTGGACTCAGTTACATTGTTTTAGTATGTGAAGAAATAACATGTTGATTATTTAAAAAAAAAAGAATGTTCTTATCCAAAATCTCCTGACTTGCTTTTAAATGTACTATAGATTCAAGTTAAATATTTGGGATGTTGGAGGACAGAAGTCTCTTCGATCATATTGGAGAAATTATTTTGAAAGCACTGATGGTTTGATATGGGTAGTGGATAGTGCTGACAGAAGAAGGCTGATAGACTGCAAGGAGGAACTGAAAGGTCTCCTTCTAGAAGAGGTAACTTAAAAAACTAGACTCTTTTCCAAGGGAAAACTGAATTTAAGAATTTGCCATGCTTTTAATGTTTTTACATATGTGTATGATAAACTTGGGTGTTCATACTGAAGTTAGGTATGCTGTAATAATTATAATGAAATGAGACCTCAACACAGGCATGCATGTAAGGTTATGGCTGCTGTTATGAATCATATGAAGCACAAACCTGGAAAATGTTTTTAGTAATTTCTTGTCTGGTTGTCTGTGATTAAAGTTCATAGATGCTGTTGTATCATTTCATGTCATGTTGTGTCTGTAAACTGCCTGTTGAGTGATGTTGTTTGGGGGTTATGTGGTGCAAAGATGTTGTAGATTGTAAAGGAGTGTTCATTGCATCTCATAGTATGCATACACACCCTCCGACATTGACACAGAAAGCTACTATTAAAGCTTTGAAAAAAGGGACTTTACAGAACTAGGAGCTTTATCATAGGATAGACACAAGGTTCTCGAAGATCTGCATCCAAAATACTCAACCAAATGTGTTTGTCATATTTATAAACTTTCTAAAGTAAAAAAAATGTCCCTGACAAAAAGTTTCTTTGTATTTACCCAGAGGCTTGCAGGTGCTACATTATTAGTGTTTGCCAATAAACAGGACCTACCTGGTGCCTTGTCTGCTGAAGAAATTAGAGATGTGAGTATTTCTAACTTATAGAAGTTATTACTTCTTTGATATAGTGTTAGTAAGGATGTCAATATTGTTTCAACTCGTGAGTATTGAAGACTATAGTGTGAGTTTCTAAAAACGATGCATTATGTATATCAAATGGTAGATCCAGAAAAATTATTCATAGAAGAAGTATATTTTTAAGACCATCTTAGTTTCATGTTAGTAAAAATAACCACTGGTAGCACTGCGAGATTCCAAAGGGAAACTTAACTATTTGTAAACTGTCTCCGAGAGTCGAATATAAGCAATCCTCGCAGCTATAACACTACTGAACTAGTAGTTGAAATAAGACTTGAAAAAAAATTCAGGCCCATATGGGATTTGAACCCATGACCTCTGGGATACTAGTGCAGAGGTCATGGATTCAAATCCTGTACAGTAGTTCAGTAGTGTTCTTAGCTGTGAGGATCGCTTGAATTCATTTCTTCACCGCAGTGCACATATATGATTTTCATATATTTATAGTCGTTGTCTCCAAGAGTGTTAAGAATTTGAGTATGGGTGCATATATTTGGAAATACAACTTCGTAACCTACATACAAAAACTACAGTGCACGGTAATGCACAAACTGAGTGTTCATGCCATTGAGTCGCAAAATAAAATCAAATAAAAAATGTCCTGGAAGAGAAGGGAGTGATGATCCCTTGATCATCCCTTAATCTGCTTCAGGTTTCTGAGAGGAGTCTTTGTTATTCTTTTTTCTATCAAAAGGCTCTTGATTTGGAATCCATCAAGACACATCACTGGAACATTCAATGGTGCAGTGCAGTTACAGGAGAGAAACTACTAGATGGCATTGACTGGATTATCTCAGACATTGCATCAAGAATATTTACAATGGACTAATATAATGTCCATGGACTTGTTTTGAAGAACTTCAAGATTGTGACATCAAACCTGATGTCTCTAAGTCAGAGATTGAGTCAGCCTTGAAACGGACATAAGGATTGCATTACAAACACCTCATTTATTGTGAATGTGATACCTGTGGACATTGTGCTGAAGAAGTTTACTCTAAGACAAATATGTTATAGTAGCTAATATTCATGAAGATGCAAAATACATGAAAGATTACCTTTCATTTTGTTTGGCACAGACACCGCTCATCAAGAGTTCACTAAAACTCTTGTAATTAATAAGAAGGCTCACACCGTAAAAGAAAAACAACAACAAACTTGACCACAACTTGCTTATGATAATAAAAATATAAGTATTCAACTTGTTAGCATCACTTGTTGGTTAAGTTTTTTCCTCACATTTTGCTTACACTTATTTTATATTCTTAATCAAACTGAGCCAAAATTGCAAATTTAAGGGATAAACACTAGGGTGTGAAATTTTGAGGCCCCCTCCCCAGCACGTGATCCAGTTTGCTGCCTAATTATTTCAGGTCAAATACAGAAGTAACTGCTACATTGCTGTGGCATTTTCCTACTTTAATTGGTTAACTTTAGACATGAGAATGTTCCAACAAAGTTGACGTGAGATTCATCAAGCTTAAATAATTTATACCATTGACACGCTCAAACTCTAACTGAACGTATAAAACTGAGTCAAGACAAAAAAATCTGTATTTGGGTGTAAATAATTCTGACCACTAACTCCTACAGCTTGGTGGGAAAAATAGGCTTGCATTTTGCCCCAGATTGCATCATGTGTCAATGTCTTCGGAGACTGATAGTTAAATCTCATTGGTTTCTAAGGGTTCCTGCTTAATTTTCATTTGTCTGTGTGGTTGTAACAGTGGCCCAAAGGATGGTGGATTGGAGAAAGATGAACTTGCTGGAGTTGTTGGTTGCAACAGTGGTACAGAGGATGGAGGGTGTGAGAAAGATGAATTTTCTGGTAATAGTGGTCCAGAGAATTGTGTATCAGAAAAAGGTGAAGTTCCTGTTTCCAACTGTGGAGGAGGAGAAGATGGTGCATTCAAAGATGACTGATTTCTAAGTGGTTCTGCTGAATTTAGTTCATTGTGAACAGTATTATATGCAGCTGTATTCAGCACAGTGCCAAGAAGCATATCGATTAAATAGCATCGAAGTCTTGAAGCAGTTTCATTGTCTTCTCCTTGCAGTCTACTCTTGTGCGTAAAGAGTAATAATATCCCAACTTTGCAAGACATGTGAGTTCGGAGCTTGGAACTTTCATTTTTAAACAGATATTCTTCACTGACCGACAAACCTGTAATAGACAGACATGTATATGATTGCATATTTACCAATAAGCATAAAAGATATTTGATATTTCTGCCTATCTAGGATGATGGGACTTTATTATTACACATAAATTCAAAAGATATAGTTTAAGCTGTCATTTGTAAGCTCTAAATATCAACAATAACTATTGATTGCTGATTGCCATGTCAGGAATCAAGAGAATACCCCCTTGTTGATTGTTTTATTTTACTCTCACCACCTGTCTATCCTAAAAGGATTGATATTTTGAGGACAAATTAAATGTTTACTACCGGACAATATGACAGAAAGTTTGACTCAATGTAAGAATGGCTATTCCATTTCCTATAAGAGGTATTTATTAGTCCTTGCAAGCATTTCTTGGCATGGGAGCTTTGCATTACATTTTGTGAGCACAAGCAGTAGTGCTTTGCAAATTTTCCACTGACAACAATCCTTTTTCAGCTTCTCAAATTGTTATGAATTTATTATTATTTTTTGTTTTAATAAATAAAAAGATATCTCTTTGTACCTCCAGTTCAGGAAAGGTAAGGATAGAATTATTTCTTTCCAAAACAACTTACAAAATATGATTCACGGAACTGCGAGTACTCCAGGATCTGAGCGTGCAAGCAATAACAAAGGGTTGTTTGCATGAGAAAGTGAGCCTCCTTAGAAATTTTTAAAGCATTTCGAGCAAAACCAAAATCTTGTGAGCACTTGAAAATTTCAAGGGACTATTTTACACCCCTCTAAAGGCAAGTATAAATTATTAAGTATAAGAATTAATTCTTCTTACAATTTCTATACACTGTTAAACAGAGAGGTGTGAGAATTATGAACAGTATCAACTAGGGGATATTGTCTTGATATAATACCAAATTCTCAGGACTACCCAACAAAGAAAAGTATGATCATCAGAGAGAGAATTAGCTTTCACATCTTGGGGACCAAAGGGTTCGCTAAAATCGAGGACGTATGTCTTAAAGTTTACATAATTCGATGATGTGAGTTCTGAGTTATCTTGTCTATTTACAATAAACAAATGATTAAATTACTAGTCTTTTTCATCGAATCTGTGATTATTATAACATATAACTTAAGCATGTCACGTAATCGGATTCGCAAAGTAAATGTTTGAAGTCCTCAATGACTAGATATACGTACCGTTGGTCTCGATAATCTTATCCAAATGTTTGTAACCTTTCTTCTTCACGTGCATCTTTAATCCAAAATGGGAAAGTAACGGGTCTTCTATGCGGAAGAATTTCCTTTCTCCAATAATGACTGGCTGAAGTTCTTCTGGCCACGTGAACTCTTGATTGATCATAATTTGCTGCCGAAGGTTGATGTTCTAACATTCGTGCGATTTAGATCCGTGTTTGCCACACGCAACGTGCAATCGACGATCGCGATTGATGGATATTTATCATGTTCTTGTCGCATGAAACCAATCACATTTCAGTCTCTTCTTGGTTACCATGACGCCGATGTTCATTGTGTTACGCGTGACCGGGCATTATAAAGTAAGATTTTTAGGAGGGTTCCAAAGTTCCCAGTTGAAAGAGAAAAGAGAAAACCTTTAGTATATAAATTTGGGTCATTTGGCGAGAAAAAAAAATCGAAGAATTTTGCTTTGAAACGCTCGTCCGACAGAATATGACGCTGAGAGCGCGTGGAAGAAATGGAAAAGATTTTTAAGCAAGTTCACGGCAAACGCGAACAGCAAATTTCGCCTACTTTTCTTCTTATCCAATCAGACCCAACAGAGAAATACACAAATATCTTCTAATTACAATAAACACAGATATTTTCAAATTACTGCTTTAAAGGTGAAAGGCAGAAGACAAAGTTGAATTCTTGCCATTTGCCGTTCGCATACGCGAGGCGTTTTACTTAACTAATGCTTTATTAGAGAGGTTTATAAAATGTTCAGAGAAATGCGCGCGCCGTGATTGGTCAGAACGAGTTCATTATATTTCCATAAAACACGCGCCTTACGTCACAAGAGTGCACTGTGGAGATATAATGCACAAAGCCTAGGTCATCGGTACGAGCGCGCGCAATTAACGATACATTTTATAAAAGAAATAAAAAAACTCGTTCCTCGAGCATTGTTAAGTTATATAAGCACTTGGGAATTTTTAAGAACACTCGAGAAGTGCGTGTGGCACTTACCTTCGGCTCGTGCTTCTCCGCACATCGCTCGTGTTCTTAAAAATTCCCATGTGGTTATATAACTCAACAATGCACATGGCGCGTTTCATTTCTGAGTGAAATCCTACGAGAACCCCACTGATTCGGAAATGACCTAAACAATAGCATGAATATTAGACCATTTAACGACGTGAAGTTATACTGTGCACAATTAAGAAACAGCTTAAGGCCAGACAGGATATGTTATAGTTCTGGTTATCATAATATTTATTCAATAAACACTGTCTGTCTATTTACATATATCAGTTACGATCTGTAAACTGTACAGGGTTACAAGAAGGTCACCTAATTAAATATAATTAAACTAGATATCACAGACAATGATAGCATTAAGTATTTATAAAACATCATTTATTTTTGCTACTATTAAATACATATGCCCTATTTACAATATACGGTGGCATTTGGAAATAAATTTATTTCCAGTTTTGTTTGTAAACCTATGTATGTTATAGTGCTTATGAATGCATTAATGAGAAAGGTGATTTGGCTGTCGTAAAGTTCCTTGTAATCGTATTTCTTTAAAGACTGTTGGTTTTATTCAGGACTCTATAAAATATTGAAGCCCCAAAAAGACTTCATTTTAAACATTTATCTACAGTTATATATTTACAAAAATACTTAAATAGTGGGCACCTTTTTAGACTGGTTTCATTTTGGTCTACGCAAGTAGCGCGAATTAGAGAAATTTTCAATTCAGCGTCGAAATAAACTGAGACTTGCCTTTGCTCTGAGAGTGGTCTAGAAAACTTGCGCTCTCCTCTCGACCAATCAGGTGAAAAACTAAAAATAACCGCGGCTTGGCCACTCGCGTTTTCCCGCGCTTTAGTAGTTTACTTGTTTTCACTTTAAGTTCTCATTGGCTAATGACAGTGTAAATCTTTGTCCTGACTGGTTACTAGGATAACTCTGGTTTTGGTTTTTCGACACTAATTTGAAAACTGCTCTAAGTCAATATATAAGTCGATACAATCCACACCGCATAGAAGGCAAAAACGTTCCTAAAATTTAAAGAACAGGGTAACCAAACACTGCCACTGTTTGTCTTCGTTTCTATTCCGTTAAAGTGGATCCCGTAATCGTCTGACGTGTTTTTAACCATAAAATGCCCATCTTCCTTTCTTGTTATGCTACAGTTTTGAGCTGGACAGTGCTGAACACACGATTTGGCGCCCACGGGGCAACTCAAGGTACAGCCACCACCCGAGCAGTTTTGATGGCAGTGAGGTCCCTTGCATTCGAAAGAGCAGTTACCTGAATCACAAAGCTGAAAGCACGAGGGTGAATTGCAGACCCCTTGACAGCCACCTTGAGGGCATCGCTGCAAAGAGAAGGAACACCCGTTTGTTTGTTAAACCCGACTAAATTACAACTTTATCAGTTTAGGGGTGAGTAACACAATATGAGTGGGTTCTTCGCTAAGAAATTGAAAGCTCACAGAGAAGTGTTCGACTTCGTCCTATCTGGATCTCCGAGTTCTTGAGCAGTTTGTAGGCGCTGGTTTTAAGCCATCCTGAGCTCATAAAGAAAGGCACACACAAATGTGAATGAACAGGTAAAGGTAAAGTCTGTTCTCGAGACAAGTGGCCCATCCAGCCGGGGCTTATACCAGTTTCTCTCAGCATAAGCGACTAGGGGTATCACTATTCCCCCCTGGATGGGACACCAGCCCATCGTAAGGTTATTCCTTCACATTGATGCGGCCAGGTCTCGAACCCAGACCTCTCGACTAGGAGTCCAGCGCTCTAAACATTAGAGCACCTCGTCTCGCATTTCAACTATTCAACGCCCAATTTTGCCAGTTCGCATAAATTTTCACTGATTACTCAAAATATGAAATTTTTCTGAAAGAAAAAGTCCGGTAGCATACCTGCTCACATTGCAGCGTCGCTCCGCAAGTCATCTTGCAGTTTCTGCCTTGACCACATCGCTGCAAGCATTTGTTGGAGCTACATGTTTGGTCACAGTTACCATCGATGGTACAATACTGTTCACAGCTTTTGCCAGAGTTGCATTCTTGATTGCAGCTCCCTCCGCAATTCTGGTAGCATCTTATGTCTGTCGTGCATTTTTGCTGGCAGTTACCACTACGGCATTCCTGGTACCCGACTGTTTTAGCTCGTATTATCATCTTCTTCCCACCGTTTCCCAGCTGCATTTTGTAATTATATACAAAGGGAGCAGTCATTATTTATAGCCTGGGAGGGATTGGAAGGATTTGGGGGATCAAGTAGTTTTCAGGGGGAACAGAGCGGGTATCAGTTGACACCAACAGAGTGCAAAAACTTTGGATAAACGAATGCCAATTAACTGCCAGTGAGGGGGTGGGGAGAGAATATGAGAATATTACAGAGCCTGATAGGGGGATCAGGTAAATTTTTTAACAGTCAAAATCTTCAGACCCCGCTCTCCCCCATTACTTAGGCGTAAGATAAGTAACAGTTATTCTAGGCCAAGTGTTAAATAGACCCAGGCGTTGAAAAGGGGCCGGAATGAAGATAAAATCTTTTTATACGAGAAACACTTTCCCTAGGGATAACAGTGAAGGATTGCAAGTTACTTTTGCCCCTTTCCCTCGGCTATACCTTCCCTTCATAATTGAAAGCAGCATTTTATACATTTACTAACCTGTTTACAAGAGCCTTCTTTACTGTGGCAGCTCACCAACGGGCAGTCGGAAGAGCACTGCTGATCACATTCTTTACCAGTTCTGCATTTCAAAGAGCATGCTCCCACTTGACAAGACTGTTGGCACTGATGCGAGACACACCTCATTGGACAGCGTCCATCGACACAGTTTTGAACGCATCTCTCCTTGGCTTTACAAAATGCTCGACAGGAACCACCGATGCAGTCCTAGCGAAGAAATAAAGAAATCATAGAGTTAGAGCGCATTTTGTTCGTCTTTGTTACTGCTGTTGCTTTTTTCCCTCGTGTAATCTATTATTTATCTCTCTCTTTTTCTCGACCCTGCAAATGAAAAGAACAGAGACTCCGCAGACGAGGCTACTCGATTCTTCCTTTGCTCGACGATCGCATGTCGTTCTCCCATTCTTTTTTGTTTTCTTAACAGCTTGCTCGTTCGTTCTTTCGTTCCGGATCGTACATGCGCGGCTCTAACGTTCGCTCGCTAGTTCGTCGTTTTGAAGGTTTTCGTTCATCTTTTCCTCGAGGTTCGTCTATTCTTAAGTAAGTTCGTTGCTTATTTGGTTCATTCAGGACAAATTATAATTTTACAAGGTACTCTCATACCTGCCTACATTGTGAACGCACTCGACAAGTCAAGTTGCACGCGCCGTCGTCGCATTTCTGCGTACAGTTTGTTGATGTGCAGCGTACTACGCCACAGGTTTGAGGCGCGTACATTTCGCACCACTGTTCCTGAAGGCAACTGTCTTTCGTCGCGCACTTCATATCACACGGGCCATACTCACAAAGTTGTTCACATGGTTTGTTAATGCTGGGACATGACATTTTGCAATTCTCGTCGCACGTTTGTTTGCAAGTGCCGGCTAAAGGGTCCTCACACTGATGGGCTTCTCTTTTGGCCATCTCTGATGTCACCAACGACAGCAAAAGCAGCAGGGATAAAATGAAAAGAAATACATGAGGCTGGGCCATGATCTTTTACACAGTTAACGTCTAGTAGCAAATCTGAAAAAGAAAAAAATAATAATGTGTTTTGAACTACTAAAATTTGAAGTGTTTGCGAATCACTAAAGTGACTACTACTTATTAAAAATTAGAAGTGTTTGGGAATTGTTTAGGCCTGTCAGATTATCTTGAAATCTTTATGCGAGTCTTGTGAGCCTTGGTTTGTTATGTGCTGCAAGACCTCACTTTTATTTTTTCTTTTGAGTAATGTGTCCTTGACCGTTGTAGTAGACTTAATTCTCGCATGGTAATCGTCTTAGCTAATTGTGTTTGAGTACGTTCTTGACCTTGCTTATAGAATCCTCAACGAGAAGTTTTGTCTGGGTTTTAGTTCTCGAAGATCGGTTACTTTTCAAGTACTTTGTTGTTCATGACGAATGTCTCGTGAAATTGTTTGGGTTAGCGTTCTTAAAACTTGTTTACTCTGCCAAGGTCAGTTGTTCCGTAAGCCCAAACATGCCTACCGATAGGATATTTAAGAGCGTGTAATTACGGCTAAATGAGACACAGACTCATTTATTCACATGAAAAGCCCTTAAGATTCATTAAGCAGAGAATGAGTAAAAATTCCTGATCAAACTCCTGGTGTCTCCGTTTGCACGAGTTGTTCAAGCTAGTTAACCTCGACAGTCCAACAAATGTGTTAGTTTTACCATGCCGCGCGAAATCATAACTAAATATTGCGTTCAAGTAGCGATTGCGCTTCGGGCAGAGCTCATCCCAGTCTGGGCTAAGTTTTTATTCCGATCATCTCAGAAAAGGGACAAAACCTTGTCAAGGTAGCGGAACTGCCACTTAGGGAAAAAACAAATTAGATAGAAAATGAAATTCTAATATTTTGTCAGTTTGTTCCGATCAACTACATTTTATTAAGTTTTGAGCAAAAAATTGCAAATAAACAGTAACAAGAACAATTTCTGGGATATTATCTTTTCTTTGACGATGTAAATGCCCCGCTTGATTTCAGCAAAGTTTCCATTGAAATCTTAACGTTAAATCACAGCTTCAATCATAAGGTATGAAAATCGGAATGCTGAGTTCCCCGTGGAGTTGATGTAGAGGAGAATAATAATGATTTAAAACAAAAAAAGAGAGAGGACAGCAATTGTGAGCGCATGTTTCTGCAGCTGTTTCAGCTCCACTTAGGCGTTCCGGAGTTCTGTTGTTTAACTCTATGGTAACGAGAAAGGAGCCTCCCTTATTTTCTTTAAAAATCAAGGGACAATTTGGAAAATGAATCTTAAGTTAAGCTGTGTTTAGTTTACAAAGGTCCTTAACATTTGTATTTGCCTTTTGATAACAGTTCAAACCCACAAGATCTGTAGTTCACTTTTGCTAAGAGCACTCACTATCCTGACAAACGATATTGTATGGAAAACAAAACGTACCCCCTCATCTCTTGGTTATTCTGAGTTCTGGGCTCACTTCTTGTACGTGTTTACGGCGTGTGAGGTTCGTTAGTCTTGTTGCAAACGGAAACAATTTCGATTCACTTTTGGCGGCGTCGAAAGAAACCGTTAGAGGATTTATTAATTAGCAGTCTAACAGAAGCATGTGTTAGTTTGTTGCTAATAAAAGAGGGGAAGACATTTCCTCCTTTGTTTATGAATGTAAAGTCCGTTAAACCAATAAACGTGTGCATTATCTGTTGATTAATGCAGTCATATCACAGAAGTGATATTTGGACACATGCTTGAAGTAAACATGTTACTTACGTTTCTTGAACCTTTTGTTGCAAAGGTTTGCAAAGCAAACATGTAGAGCTCCCTTATTTGCCGATGAGTTCTTCGCGTGGTTCTGTTTGCGCGTTCTGTCGATCACTAGATTATTTTTTTTCCGGCTTCCCCTGCTCTTTGTTAACCTAAACGCCAGGTGTTCGATCATAACGTTTTGGCTTCGCTCGTGGTTTTGGTAATTTAATTATAATAAAGCCTCTGCATACTGTTAATGACTTTTTCTAGGTAAACATGGTCACATAACATGAATAGTGGAAATGACTGGCCCATCTATCTCTCCAGTTACCTAGACACACACGGCAACGGTTGAAACGTGGCGATAAACACTGTAGAAAACATCCCACGCATTCGCAATTGCTTTTCCACTTCAGTTTTACCTCGCAAATTTAAATTTGCTACTAATCTGGGAAATAGCGGAAATGCTCGTTGCCGTTCGCGTTGCGGTTGAGCCGGATGGTTTTTCACTCCAAGCTATATCTGAAGTAAAGGATTTCCCACCAGCTAAATATTGCATTATGAAGCAAAGGATACATAGCCTTAACTTCATCGATTTTAAAAGATACTGATACAACTTGCTTGACTCGGTAACTTGGTCTACACGCTAGTGAAGAACTCTAAGTAACGTCTATCAATCCATTTTACAAATATTACGGAATCTGCAGAAATGTATTGTGTTCAGTCAAGGGATGCTGGAGTAAACAGAAGCGAGTCAGTTAAGATATCTCACGGAGGGAAATCAATTATGTGCGTTCAGTGCCTTTTTTCAATAACAATGGTTCATGACAATGTTTACAAGGCGTGGTAATTATGTCAAAAATCCTAATGGGTTGTGAACTTGCGGGAGGCCGTGCGTGCGTATTTCATTTGATATTTACTTCTTTGCTTGCATTTGAAGGTAAACACATATAACATTATGCATGAGTGTTTTCATTTTTCACAATCAATATTAGGTCTTTATTATAAAGGCTTACACGCGATATTGTAAGTTGTTTTTAATTTTAGTGACTCAAGTAACGTCATCATGCAATAATAATTGTGTGATGGGATCCTAGAAAGCAGTTTCAAGCGTGTTCCGCTCTAACGAAGGGCTAACACTCGAAAGGTCAGCTTATAAACTCTTTATGGCGGCCAATTCACATCATCAACCCAGTTGATAAACTCCCCCTTGACACAGCACCACAGGTTCTTTAGAAACGTGCCCCCTTTATTCTATGTCAAGCAAAGCTAGATAACAAGCATCCGTCCAATTTGTTTTCTTTCTATTTTCCCGGAAGACACTGAGAGTTTGGAACACGAGGCGACTTGTGGAAAGCACCCTTTCTTTAGCTTGCAACGATTTCGCAATGCAGTGAGAGGCTTTTGAGAACAAACAAAAGTAACTGAAAGTGAAGGAAGAAAAGCTGACATTACTGCAGTTTTGATCGATATTATTTTTGAGATAGCTTTTAATGAGAAATTTGCCTTTTCTCGTATACTTCAGGTGAAAAATAAATTAATATCTTTTCGCATGCCAGTGACAAAATTTAAAAATCTTTTTCAAGTATAATTCGTAAAATATGCGAACATTTGTAAATAATCGTAAACAATTTTCGTTTTCTTTACAAACCTCTGTTATGACCGTTTATTATACGCTTGTTAAAGCTCAATAAAACAAACTAGACCTGTGTTTTTGGAAGATTCTCAAATTAAATTAATTTACTTAGAGCACTTTTTTTTTTTACTCCAATTGCGCGGCCTGTTCGCTTTATCTGATAATCTTCAGATGCACGGTAAATAAGAATTACACCTGCTTATATACGTGAGCCGCCTTTTCGTGCTTAAAATCCTTCGTGAGTAGTTGATATTGATGGCTCAATCGAGCATGACGTTTGTTCACCGGCGAGTCTGTCTTGTCATCAAAGCGGGGGCTAGTTTTCAAGGATTACCGAGACTCAGAGCATTTAAGATTTTACCGACTTGTCTTGTGAGAGGATGCGTCCTTGGAGGATAGCATACCCTCTGAGTTCCGATATAAAAGAGTAAAGTCTTCCCTTCAGCAAAATTATCGTTAATAGCACTTCACTTTACCTCAAATGACTAAGGTAAGAACTCAGGAAAGAGTTAAAAAAAAGACCCTAAATTAATAAATTTTGTAATGTCGAAATATGCAAAGTTCAGACGAAAAATATACACCCGCTGGCGTTCTTCGATTCCAACCAGCGCTCGCCTTGTTTTCTTATCCTTTCTTCTTTAGTGTAGCATGAACCTTAATTTTCTTTTTGAGTTGACATAAAAAGAGCAATATTACATCTGAGCAAGTCAAGCTTTTGAAAGTCATAGTCGCTTTACCGCAAGTCGCTTAGGTTTCCCATTAAGAAACCCTAACGCGACTAAACTATTTAATTGTCGTCTATATATGCAAGGTCGCTGGGACTGTGGCCTTCTTATATTCCTTTAAATTTCGCGCTCGGTTAATTTCCTTGACCTTTTTTTCGCTAATATAACCTAATTGAAGTATAAAGTCGATTCATAATTCCAATTTATTTAGAAACATGGCCCGAACCACCCGCCGAGTGGACTGCTAAACAGCAAAGTTCTCAGTCTTTCAGCATTGCTATAGCCACCTGAGCAGTTTTCGTCTTCTATACACCACATACATTATTCTTTATATAAAGAAACACTATCGATGTATATCTTAAGTCACTGAATCAGTGTGTTGTTCAAATGTCTAACGGCCTTAAGTAATGTTGAAAGGGACCTCTGTGCTGTGCGTCTAGAAAGCCCCTAGTATGTCAGGGCCTGAGGCGTTTTCTGATCCTATTTCACTATTGTTTAATTTTTTTGTTGTGTCTATGTTAATGCAGGTTGATTAAAGTGTAAATTCGGTTTAAAAATTTTAATTTGACTACTTAACTCACCTTCCTTCAGAGGAAAACGATCCTGAACGAGTTTCCATGACTGAGCAATAAAATCGGTTCTAAAATTTTTGTTTTACGCATAGATTTTTCTGTCTATTTGAAATCCAATAAGAGGCATTTACTGCCTAAATAATCGGCAGTAACCCCCACTATGCCAGTGCAGCATGACAATATAAGGAACTAAGCTTTTCGCTGTTATGTCTTTTTCAGTTCTCAAAGCACACCGTGATTACTTTAAAGCACGTGGATGTACTCAAGAACTTAGTCAAGCGTTACTGTGTTTACACACTATTTGTTTCCGCAGTATTGAACTCGTGGACTCGATTGCTCTAGCTAACTACAGTATTTTTAACTTGCACTTTCTTGTCGTGAAATGAACACGCAGCTTCGGAGACAAGCGCGCGCTCGATAACTCTCACACGAAATTTTTATGGACCGTTAATGTTTATGGAATCTTAATGGCTTCCTTAATCTTGGGGCAAAGACGAGAAAAATTTTACAGTGAAGAATCAATTTTGACGAACATACCTTAATCACGTCGATCTTCACATCAGGGTGTTTCCTTTGGCCATTGTTAGATTCTAAGCCTCTTTGAGAAGCTTAGTCGTTATAAAAGTGGTATTCCATGAAATATTCATTCCGTGTAAATATGCTCATGTGGGCTGCTATTACCTTGTGCATATCGATATCATAACAGCAGCTGTTTTGAGAGAAATCCATGACGACAGAGTTGCTTGAACGTAAACGGTTTCAGTGCAGTGAATCAAATTGTGCATGTTTTCTTGTCGTGCTAATGAAATCAACCGAAAGCCTTTTTCGCTCTAAACGTTCACGGATTATCGGAGTATTTTCTGTTATTTCCAGGGAATGTTGCATTTTTTTTAATTCTAAGTGTTAAGAAATCGTATAATGAGATATCTATTGGTAATGAAAGCCCACGGTTTGGCAAATGAGAAGGGAAGCGTCGGATTGCAAAACTATCTGGATAAGTTGTCTCGTAGAATCGATCGAGAACATAAGAAAAAGAAAACTTGTTTTGAAAAATATACTGGATCGGGCTAATGAAAAAGGAAAACGAAATTTGAAACCTTAATATCTGCGGCAGTCAGGGGGATTCAAAATTTTTCATGCGTCGGTTGAAACAGGTGGTCAGGTTTGGGTTGTGATCACTGTTGCGAAATCCATTGTTATGTTGATTAGCGACGTCCATCATGAAGTTTATTAAACCGGACAGATTGTAAGATAGCGAGGAATAACCGACGTAAAAATGATCCAAATCTTTAAAGCGATTTATTTTCATTAGTCATGTTAGTATGAATGTGGCATTTAAACTTCTCATAATAGTGCAAACTTTCAATTTGCTACGAAAGAAAGCTGTGACTCTTCGTTTAAGCTTGCGGCAAAATATTGAACAATTTTTGATGACGATTTTTTGATGCAATTTCAATATCAGAACATAATGCCATTAAAACACAATGATATTCTAATCATGTAGCTTCAAATCGGCTCATGCCATACTTATTATGTCAAACAAAGATGAAAGATTTGTTATTTCAGACCTGAAGGATTTGTTCTTTTATGATCTGGATAAAAATCAAGGTTTCCTTTAAGTGTGCCTTTTCACAGTAGTATAAAAATGCCGATTTTTTAATTTCTCTCTTTTGTTTTGTGACGTTTTGTTTTGAACCCCAAGCAAAATTATCAGAAGAACTATCATCTTACTGAAAGGGAAAAACAATAAATCAGTTCGGTCAACTTGCCATCTTAAAAAACCAAGAGTTGGCCAAGATTGCCGATGATGGTTCAGAAGACTGACTTGAAAATGATGAAACTGTAAATCTGGGCGAAATTTGGTCGAGATTTTCAAACTGTGCTGCTCATTTTGGAAGCTAAAAGGAAGGAAACTTTGTTCAACAGAGTGAGGAAATATCATGGTTACATTATAAAGTCTCTCAGCGACGGGAAGAGTACAAGAAAATACAAACAAACAAACAAACCGTCCAAAAACAACACCGAGGAAAGATATTTCGGTCGTTTTCTTTCATCTTATTTTATGTATACAAAGGACCCAGACCAAGAGTTACGCTTAGATAAAAGCCAGATAACTGTCATTGCTACGGTAATGGCGTTGGTTGCAGAAGGGTTCGGAGACCAAAAAATACCAAGGGTGTGGGTGAAGGGAGTCTTATCCGAGTGCAGTTAGCCTTTCTCTTTATCAATTAAAAGTAATTATATAGTGATTTTAAAGAAGAGATTATCGACGAGGTTAACCTTTAAACATCGAATTTCCAACTTCAGTCAATCGTAAAGTTACAAGAATTTTGCCGTCAACTTTTAGCCGTAAACATCTCTCCGGTGGTCCTCACTGAACTCCATGGGACCAAGGAAATCTGTATATAGAAAAAACGGCTTCAATATGCGGTTTGTAGATTTAAAACACGTGGATCTAAGATATTTCTGCAATACACGCTCGTGTTTTTGTAGGGGTCTTAGATGATTTAAACAAATATTCAAAAAAAAGCTGTGCTAAACCTAACGCTCATTGGAAATATTCCGCCCACACCCTTAAAGTGGTACAACCCTCAAAAAATTAACGTTTTTTCATATGTTTTTTTACAAAAGGTTATCTATATCACCTAAAATGACACATGGAGACAACTATATCTTTGCAGTTTTTGACTTGATATTTTATTATCGCCGCTGAGAATTAGCAAATGATGCCCCCCCGGTGGGCAACTAAACAAGAACAGTCATATCTCTTTAACATTAGATTAAAAATTCACAAAATTTTTAGTTGCGACTCATTATTTATTCTTTACTGATCATCATGGAAGAACCCGTTATAGTTTCATTAATACTAAAGAGAAATATCGAAAATGTGGAGCCGTCTATTTTTGGGTGTTCTGCGCTGCCGAGAACAATTCTCTTTTCGAAATTATTTAAACATTACAATATAATCAGTACAGTCTCCCTGTTGAGCTTTGGATTTGCCAGACAGCAATCGCATGAAAACAGCCACCGGGAACAATAACATCAATGCGAGCGAGGCTGTAATCTGAAGGCGACTGCTACTACTACTACTTCGCGAGTATTTAACGTGAAAATGGTGCAAGACTCACCAGCGCAATTCAAGTGACAAAGTTCTGCCTCACAGTGTATGACGCACGATTCGCTGCTGGGGGCATACTTGTGTGCACTACCTGACTTTTGAAGTGCAGATCATAGTGCGGCTTGTAAATTGGCGAGTCTACTCGTGTTCTCCCAATATCCCTTGCGGTCTATTGTTTGAATAATCTTGTTTGAAAAATAAGATGGCGTACAACGTTTAACATTACATTTAAATTGAATCGAAAAGTGTTCAAAACAAATCAGTTTTAATCCAACATCAAAGAAAATTTACCCAATACAGCCATAAATTTTAACATCAATTTAATGTTTTCGAGAGCGGGCTTCTTTAAAGGATTTTGGATACCTTAGCAATAATTCCGGCATCATTTCTATCTGTATGACTTTAGTTATCTATACAATAAGTCTTTAAAAGGACCAGAAAAGATTCAAAAATGACAAAAGATTAGATAGGGCTGAAATTGCTACAAAAAATTTCCATCTAGGATATGCGTAATGCGTAGAGCATGAATTTCAAATCTTTGCGCTGCCAAATACAAAGGGGGAACATTATAATAACTCATCAGGTCTCATCAGCGAAAACGTCTTCGAGAAAAGAAACGTCTAAACTCATTTTGAATATCCTTTTTTAGTAGAGCATACACGAATGGGTTGACAGCTGAATTAGTTATCAAAAACAAGAACCTTCCATCATTTTTAAAATAGTTTCTCCAAATGTTTTTGTGTAAATTTAGCAGATGAAAAAGCGAAGAGACCATCTCTGAAGTGTAACAAAATACAAACAGTGCAACAACAACACTGATTAGTTTTGCTGAGGACCTATTCCTCTCTCTGTGTTCCCTCAAAGAAGAGAAGTTTAGAGTGGGATGGTTGAATTTTAACTGTGATTGTAGCGCGAAAGTTTGGCGAGTGTGCCGGCGAGAAATGCACAAAAGACGCCAGGTTGTATTTACCATCACTATGCAAGGTAAAAATTCGAAAAAAGTCAACAGAAAGGCGACGAAAACCTTATTGCAGATTTTTTGCGTTTCTACGGATGACGAATATATCCATGTGACAGGGAGAAAACAGACTGTGAAGGGTGTTAGCCATGCTACAAAAATGAAGGAAAAGACGCGACGCCATGTCATAAAAGTTATGTATCTGAGAGGACAGGCTACGGCGACAAATCGATCCGCTGTTACGACGCATAAGTTGCTGGCAGAAGTGTAAAAGAGAAAATAACGGAATGATGTCAAAAGCCGTACGCTTCGGTATCCAGAGAAAACTGATGTCATACGATAGCATGGCATCGTAAAGAGCCCAACGAAAAAGTCAGCGAAGGCGAGGGAAGTTATGAATGCATTGGCTGACGAATGGAGTCGTTTCCTGACAACCAGAAGGTAAATTACCAAACCATTTCCCAGAAGAGCCAGAGCGCTAAGAAGCCATGTAAAAACCGACATCCACATAACTATCAGATGCGTTGTAAGCAAGATTCAAGCAGATCGTTTCTCCTGATCTTTTAACTCACTTTTTTTTTTCATTTAAATTTGGATAGCCACTTTTTGTCTGCGTCTCCTAATTTTCCGTTCCCTTAAAAATATAAATACTTGAGATCAGTGTATCTCATGCCCTTAGCTCCCATGAGTGACTAAGACAGAGTTTCTCCATACAATATTATTACAATATCAAGCAGACGAGGGATAGGAAAAGCTAAAAATATCAATTAGGGGATGATTAGTCCAATACCAAATTCTCCGAAGCTAACATCATGAGAATTGTATGGCAGACAGTAAGGAGAATTACTAAAGAGATATTGGGAGTGAAAGTGTTAATTGGTCCTTTTTTGATTGATAGGTGGCAAGATACTACCAGCTTTATTTGACTTAGTGTGTACTTCTTTAGAAATGAGTGCCACGTTGTAAATGGAACTTTCAATATTAATCATCGGGGTTTTAAAATGAAAAGTAAACAATCATTGATTTCCTACCAATGGCATCGAGGTTTTTGCTCAAATCCGTTTACATTTGATGAACAAGGCCTAAATTGTTTGCTGCAATGAAGGCCCAAATTATTCAAAACATCCGTAAAAAGTTGGTTATGAGAATGTGTTCGTGATTACCAGCTGGCATTTTTTCTCAGTGATGATGCGTCATATGTCTTTTCATACATGAACTACACAGTGTTAGAGATATAACAATATTCGTGAAAAAAACTACGCGTTTCTGATTGGCTGAAAACGAGTGCATTTTTTACGTCACGCGAGTACATAGTTGTAATTTTTCTGACTTCTGGAAGCACTTTTTTTCCCCTCGACATGTTAAAAAAAGGATGGTATTTTACTTGCCCCAGTCTACTGTTCAGCTATCTAGGAATACCCAAAACCACATTTTGTAAGTGTGGCAATTTTTGTGATCAGATTCCTCTACGGAAACGAAGAAACTGCCAAGCAAAAATCGTATTTATATAGGCTCTATAACAAACACTTCTTAAAGAAAGAAAAGTCATTCAGTAACCGATGACTTGGAACGACAAGAAACCTTTTACCCCAAAGGTGCCACT